ATATTAAAACTATAACAAAGCTTCTTCATAAACAACATTTGCAGCTTGCTTTCCATCTACCAACAAATAAAGATTTTGAGGTGATTCCACCCTTGAACACCCTACATCTCATTGATCATGAGAAAAACACTGTTGTTTGAGAAACAGTCCAGCAACTTTCATACTTTGACCTTGAATCCCTTTAGAATATTCAACATTGTCTAAAGCATCAACCTGCCAGGATTGTTTGAGATTGACTCAATAGGCTGGGAGTAATTAACCAATAGGCTTTACAAAAATAGAAATAGGGTTAAGTTCATTTTTGACCCCCTTAGTTCATACTGTTTCCATACAAACTTTTGTTGAGATTGGCCTCAATAGACTCGGAGGAGTCAGGGTGCAAATAAACACACATTTCATCTTTATATATATAGTTGTGTGTAAATGTAATTCATTATAACCTATTAAGTGTATAGCAGTATTTTGTAAAGCTGACAAGAATAAGATAAAGATTGATTGTTAGAAGTTAAACTTAATGACAGTGACTGGTAATATATTCAGAATGTGACTCATTAATACAACTGAATGGGCTCTCACGTATTTGTTTTTGTATGGTCAGATACAATGTGTACTTCAAGACGTAGGATCAGCTGTCGCTACACCAAAAAGTTCAGCGAGAGAAGCACATTTAAGTAAGTTCTGAAAAGAATCCCGTTATTTTTAAAGAAAATAAATAAGCAATCATATGTAAATGCTTCAGTTTCTCTAAGTTTCATCATAGGCCTCGTTAATTCAAGACAGGGGCAATAATTCCTGTCAGAAAAATAAAGCAACTTTTTGTATAATTAAAATTATTTTTACTGTTACCTGAATGCTTGTTTTTTTAACAGTGTTTAAAGTGAATTATGTCTTTACTATTTGACCCTTGCCAAAGAAATATTTGTTAAAAAAGTTAATGGTCAGTTTGTTTTCTTTTTTCTGAAAGTTGGTCACATTAATAAAAATCTTTGTATTCTAGTCCTTTTTTTACAATATTAAAGCCTTATTGGTTTTTAGCTTATTACTGACAGTGTTTGATATTATGTCAGATACTTAAACTGGAACATGAATTGACGAGGTTTGGTTGTTTTTTTTACCACCACAGCAGTAAACAAGAGGAGGAAGTGTTTGTTACATCTTGCTAACATTTCAGTGATGTTATATAATGTTTTTGTGTGGTGTTTGTTACATCTTGCTAACATTTCAGTGATGTTATATAATGTTTTTGTGTGGTGTTTGTTACATCTTG